TGCTCTGGGATGAAAGTGAAATGGGAGAGGTAATGCTATTCCCTTAATCAGTCTCAGTTCTCATGTTTCTCATGTCTTGCTAAACTGTGTGACTCTAGTGTTTAAAGTTGTATGTACATACATGATTGTTATGAACACATGCCAATAATTTTATCTTGTGATCAACTGGTAAGAGAATTAGCAGAGTTGAACTTCACTTATATACAATTCTTAATATGCGATGTACAGTGTTTTCAGAGATTACTTCCATCATATATCTATAAATGATATTGCTAAATAAATACGAATACAGGATACTGAATATTTCATTCTTGCAATATAATGACATCACATATGGTAAAAAAAAAAAGAATAATAATTATTTCCAATTTGTTTTGTTTTGCACTTTATTTTACTTTTCTGAAAAGCACTGTTATGGGCTGGGGTTGTGGCTCAGTGGTAGAACGCTCGCCTAGCATGTATAAGGCCCTGGGTTTGATCCTCATTACCACGTAAAAATAAATAAATAAAAGAAAGATATTGTGTTCAACTACAACTAAAAAATAAATATTAAAATAAAGCACTGTTATATTAACTCTTTGAAACCTAAGATGCCTTACCTTTCAGATGTTCTAGTTTTATATTTCTAAGTTTTAACACTTCATCTGTAATCTTCTGTATCAAGAAGTTCTGTGTTTTTTCTCTCCGAATAGATTCAACAAGAGTGTCCAGTCCTTTGGGGTTTTCTTGTAAGTAGTCTAACAATTTTCCAGCCCTTTTTCTACTTGATGTCCGGCAAGAAATTTCTTCAGTGTCTTCTCTACTGAGTATTTTTTTTGCACGTAGATGATCAAAATGTCTCTCAGCTATGATTTTCTCACATAAGTAAACCCGCAAATTTTCTAAAGCCTAAAAGACAAAATATGTTTCAGTGTTATTTTGTAACATCTAGTAAAACCACACAGGTAACTAATAAGTAGTTACAAGTATTGGGGATTGAACCCAGGGCCTCATGTGTGCTAGGCAAGCACTCAACCACTAAGCTACAATCCTAGTCCTAGTTAGGAATCTCAACTGGTGTGAGATAATGTTCTGAAGTCAGGAGGCTCAGATCACTTAAAATGCATGTGAATTAAGATGAAAGTTCAAGTAGGTATAAGAAGTTCTCAGATATTCCTGTTTCGGCCTGGTTCTGTTCTTATCTTCCCACCTGAAAACCAAGACCAGGCTGTTTTAAAGAGGGGCCAGTTAAATCTGGAGAGCCCAGGTCCTTAGAAATAGGAAGGTCTGCTTAGGGTCACTTGTGGTGGTAAAGATAGGAACAGACTACTGCACATTTTAGGTACCATTTGGAAAGGAATTCAGAATTAAACAGAAACAGGGAGGATAACTTAGAATGAAGCCTCATAATTTTTAAGTTTCTCATGTTTGTTATTAGTTATTCCATCTCCTTAGAGTGAAACCATTAAAAACAAATAAACAGAAAACAAAACTCCTAAACTAAAAGAGCCCATAATGTATCAGTCTTTGGGATTGGTTAGAAAAACTATAACTTCCCGAGTCAGTCTAGGTGGAAGGGGAGATATGCAAT